CTTTTATACAGTTACGTTACTTATTAGAAATTAAAATCAATAAAACTCCAGAAATTTTACTCTAAGTGAAAATATTCTATGTATCAATACAAAGATAACAATATTGTTTCTTTTGTAAAGAAGTCATTATGTAAATATATGGAAAGTGAAATAAAATTTGTTATATGAATAATCAAATGACAATGAGTTTCGAATCAATTACCCAGTGATTACGATAAAGTATAGACGTAAATTGCAGCAAAATTTAAGTCATAATAAAAACTTCATCTTTATTTATAACCAAAGATGGATAGTGGATAGAAGTGGAATCCAAGACGCACGTTTCGTCTTATTTGGGACTCGTCAGTTGGATGTACCTCTCACTCTGGGACTCGAAACCAATATCTTTCACTTCAAGAGTCATCGCGTTATCCACTCAGTTACTGAGTCCTGATAACCACTTACTTGTGCAATGGGATGTGGTTTAAATTCACTTGAAAATGTTTGTTTGAATTTTCCCATTGATGTTTAGGACTGCAATCGATCAGTCTCTTATTGGCATATATGCATACTGTGCGTGCTGCCTCGATATAGCCTTAATTCACAGGCATTATCCATCTTTGTTGATAATATTATTATAAATGTTTTTTGAAAGCGAAAGGTACTGGGTTCGAATCCCAAAGTGAACATCAACTCTGTTATGTATAATGTTTATATAATCGTTAATAAGGATTTGAATTATCCCGGTGCTGACATTCATGACTGGATCTTCATATGTTTTTATTGCCTAAAATACATTAATTGAAGATTGCCTTTTTATTAATATTTAATCACAGCATTTTCAGAATTGGTGAACTTGTAGTATCAGCTTATATGTTAAGCCCATATACTTTATTCTAGTTGCTGGCCAAGCCAATTCGCCTATCCATTATGAGTCATATTTTTATCTTGTTAATCACTTGCTTATTAACCTTGACTATACTTTTATATGAGCATATATGTGTACACTTCATATCTTATTCGTCGTATGTCTGTCACTGATTTTTGTCCGACTATAAATGTTGATTAACGCTTGCTTAAATCGATTTGGCTTCCCAGCCATCTCCAATACGCATCATCTTTCGCCTCGCTCTCGAGTTGAATTCCCAGCCATCTCCACTACGCATTATTTTGCTTCACTCTCGAGTTGGCTTCCCAGCCAATCTCCAAATACACGTCATTTTGCTTCTCTCTCTTCTGTTCGCTTCATCACTCTGATTCTCTGACCAGATCAATGAGTATAGAAAATATATGCATTCTATATCCATTCTCGTATTTGACATATTTAACTCCGTTGTTCACCAACGCGTAATAAAGTCATTTATTACATATGAGGATAGACAGTACGTACGATCAAAAAGGAATCAGATATACGCCACAACAAACTCCAGCTGGCAGTAGAATTCAAGATGCATGTTTCATCCTGTTTAGCACTCGTTAACATGCTGGTATTAGGCCATACTACGTGTAACCAAATACTTTAGAATATCTGTTATTAAAAACATTCAACTAAACTAGCAATTCAATCTCATCACCCATAATCTTAACTTTCTTTTTGAACGGGATCATTTTTTGTTTTTATGGTAAGATTTTATTTAAAGATTTCAACATTTTTTTAAACGAACAATTTCATCTAAATGAATATTGATGTTATGAAATATTACCAATACACTATTTGTTTTTTTTTAATATTTAGAGCTGACATAATCATTTTCTGACTTTTATGTCAAACTTTTCAAAAAGACCCCCCCAACAAAAAAAATGTTTTTTAAAACGTTTATTATATCTGGATTGTTATTTTCCCAAGTGTGTTTTTTTCAACAAAAAATAGAAAAACAGTAAAATTTAATCGATTTGTTTAAGTGAAAACATTTGAAAAACAAACAAAAATTCACAAATTTTCTGCAATTAGTTCCCTTTATGAATTTAAACAAAGTTCAAACCACGTCTATTGTGTGATAATAACTCACTGAAGACAATTGGTGAACAGTCGTTCAACTTCGTGGATTGGTTGGAGATATATATCAATACCATAGGATGACGGCTCAGTGGTCTATCGGTTAAGTGCTCTGGCGCGAGACTAGTAGGTCTTGAGTTCGAATCTTGCGAGGCGTGGTCGTGAGTGCGTACTGCTAAGGATCCCACAATAGGACTAAACGGCCGTCCAGTACTTCCAGTTTTTCCATGGTGGTTTAGCTTCAATTGACTCACGCTTGCAAATATCAAAATTTAAATGAAGCCAGAACAAATATTGATGCAGAATAATATGAATTCATTATATTTCGTGGTTTCTCATCAGTTGCTTACAACCAGTAATAAAGTTATTACTACCCTGATAATCCACTATTTTTTGTTTTTGTTTTTTGATTATTAGTTTTATTATGGTTAACATTTAGTTTGTATTATATTCATCTTCCATTACCCAATTCTTATACCACCCTTTCATTCACACATTTCTGCTCACTTGATTCTCTTAAATTATATGAACTCTCTAGTTATATTAATGAATATAAGATACTGAATCAAATGAAATTAGTAAAATGTGTTGGGCTGAACTTATTAAACCACTTATCCCTCACTCACTTAGCACTTGTGAAAATTAGTGACTGTTTTTGAATAATTAGTGAACTATTTATCCTGGTGAATGATTTGGTTACTTGGAGAAGTTATAAATCTAATAAGCGACATTTTAATTATATATGGATGAAATCATGAGTAAATTGAAGCTAGACCAACATGGAAAACCTGGAAGCACAAGACGGCCGTCTCGTCCTTTTGTGGGAATCCTCAGCAGTGTGCATTCACAATCCCGCCTCGCAAATTTATAACCCAGGACCTATCAGTCTCGCACGCGAGCACTTAATCTGTAGACCACTGAGCCGGCCGGCATCCAACGGTGTTAATGTCTCGCGCGGTGGGATCGTGGATGCGTACTGCTGAGGAGTCCCACAAAAGGACCAGACGGCTATCTAGTGCTTCCAGGTTTTCCATGTTGGTCTAGCTTTAATTGACTCATGATTTCATCGATATAAAATTACTAAAATCTTCACAAAACCCACTTCTGACATTTTAATTAGTTTACTTTTTTCAAATGAACACATATCCAGTGACAATATAAGATGTTTAAATCTCACTAATTCAAAATGTCTAGATAAACCATATTACAGATTGACTTCAATTAGATAAATATTTAAAAACAGAGTACCATATCACTGAAACGGAACGTCTCTGTAACAAACAATGACTGCTCAGTAAGAGATGAAGTCCAGAACTAATAAATACATTAGATTCGGACTATTAAATTGATATTAGATCCAAAAATTTACATGTAGAGCCTATAGAACATTTTCATAATAGCAATTCTCTGATTAGATTCAAAAAGTATCCGTTGACATAAAAACACTTTAAGGTATTAAAGATTCCATCGTGAATATAGTTTACCTACATTATTAGTAAATGTTATATACACATAATATAAATGAACAGAAAACAAATCGGTAATTTTCGTCAGTTCATGACGATGAGTCGTTCGCTTAGAAAAAAGCAGCAAAAAATATGTATGTTCAATCAGGTTGTTTTGTCATTTGAGTCGAAGGTGGTTGCTATGAATGGATAAAACGGTAAGAAGGTAGGGATCTAATGCATGTGTTTATTTTTTCAGTATCATTTTGATTTATCTACATTTGTTTATTTTAATTAGGGACTAAAAGATGGTGGTAAGTAATTAAAGTTTAATAAGCATTCACTGGGAGACCTAAACGTTCTAGATTCGACTTTTAGATAAGTCATAGGTTTTTAATTCTGGTTAATCTTATACTAGAATCAATCAGCTGTTTATTGTTCTTTGCTCTTTAACGGCACCTCAGTTGATATCGACCTGAGGCAAATACAACTTAAAAATTAAATCAATCTACATAAAACCCTTCGTAACTAATTGTTCATAGGATTTGTTCAAACTGGCAAATTCAAATTAGTGTATCCTATTACAACTGAATAGACATGTTATGACATTTATAAACTTTGAAAGTAGTATTCATTTTGAACTGACTTCAGTATTTCATTACTTTAGCTATACACTGTCTAACCAAACATTAGTTCACTTATTTATTCAATGATGTTTTTTTCTGACATTGAATTTAGTCATTTTTGTCCATCAACTACCTGAGTATTCATATTAGAAAGCATGTAATTATAATTATAATTAATTAATAATTCATTCTATGAAATTTATACTATAACAGCAATTCATATGCTTTTATTGCTGGAGATTTTTGAAAAACTTGTATTATCAAAGTTTCAATCATGAACGAACATCATCTAAGCCAACATTGAGAACACAGAAGCACTACATAAGTATTTCTTTTGAGTGTGGGGCTCTTCAGAAGTGAACACACACAACCACACCACAAGAAATCGAACTCAAGAATTACTGTCTCAAGCGTCAACTGATAATCTCTAGACTACTGAGTACACCAGAATGATGTTCATGCGTTCGATTTCACTTGGCTGGTTTGTGAGTATCCACTACTGAGCTGTTTCATTATATGATAAGATATTTGTTTGGTGCTTCTTGTTTTACAATGGTGATCTAGCTAAGATCAGTTAATGATTTAAACTACGGAAATCCTACTATCTACACAAAACCTTATACTGATAAAAATCTATTATTATCACAAGAGGTTTTGATAGTTGAAAGCGTGAGTCAATTGAAGCTGGACCACCAGGGGAAGCCTGGAAGCACTGGACGGCCGTTTTATCCTATTGTGGGACTCCTCAGCAGTGTGCATCCATGACCTCGTCTCCCGAGGACCAGTGCTTCTAGGTTTTCCCTGGTGGTCTAGCTTTGATTGACTCACGCTTTCAAATATGAAAAATCTATTACATTTTATACTAACAAATTTAGTAACTTGTAATGATTAATTTACATTTGATTGACTTAATTGTTTATTTCTTTTAATTTTTATGTTTTAAAATGATAACAGAAATATTAAAGTTAATAGACAAGATCTATTTGACAATTCACCATGGCCTAAACTTGATGTTAAATTCACTGTGAAAGATGAAAATGGTCAATCAGTACAAACAATATTAGATTCAACACCAATCAGATTTGTAGCTGAATTGATTGATGAACTAAGTAAGTACAAATGAACTAAATGGGTTATTTTATATAATAAACTATTGTTAAGAAATCTTACTTTATTGTTTAATTATTTCATTTGTAAGTTAATAAATATACTACATTACTGCGTCATCTTCGATCTGATTACATGTTCAAAGATAGTCAAATTTTTCAAGATGGATCTTTATGTCAGTCAGTCAGCTACAACATAGGACCAGGCACATATATCCATCTATCCAAGTTGCCACAACCTCGTTAGCACAACAAGATGAACCCGAATTCATGGAAATAGTTAATTTAATGGTGGTAATATATAAAAGAAAGATTGTATGTAAGGATATAATACAGGAAAAAAGAAAGATATGAAGAAATTTTAATCTCATAGTTTAAGGGAAAGCAGAAAGTGCATGCATCTACGCCACTGTGGTCGATTCTGAGCCATATCACACAGAGTCTCCAACCATTGGTTACAATAGTCAATAGTTACAATAGTTGTCTGCATCTACTAACATGACTCAGACCAGAGGTTATTGACTTCAAGCACTAATGCCATATTTTGATTTGGTCGCCCCTAACCCATGGTCCAACCATCTTAATGTAAATATATACGATGCCTGTTCAGTTAGAAAGATCCCCGGAGAGCTATTATGTTACTTTTAAGGAACAAAACATAAGCATGTAGGTCATTTATTACACTATTAGGTTTTAGTTTTTTTTCAATGTGATCATTCTAATCAACAATTGAAAGCTTTTATTGCTAAGAGATTTATTTAGGTTATAGTTACACGTATTTTGTTAATGGTGTTTTTTAACTTCATCATAGATTTTAACTTTTAAATGATTTGATCCCACTTCTTAATTGATATTATTCGTTATTTTTAAGCTATATTCTTCATGCAGAATAAATGGTATATGGTTAGCTAGTTGAGAATTTCTATCTGGATATATTTATACCATATTGTTGATGTTCACTTTTAAGCTCGAACCCAGTGTCATTTGCTTTAAACGTCACTTAATGAATAATGTGGTGGTATTTCATGCAAACGATACTGAGCTCGAGTAAGAGAGTGAACATCACATCTTGGATGCAGTTATATCCAGTTAAGAAGTTTTAAATAGGAGGAATGGAACGTCCTGGACACCACTGTTAGTGAAATTCTATTTATTTTATATCACTTTGTATTATGTCAAAGCAATCTACACAGGATGAAACTATATCAACTAAGAGGGATCAAATTTTAATCAAACACCTCCACAATAGGATAATCTAAACTATTTCAAATTGGATTACGTTTTTAGTTTTTTGTTTTTATCCATTACTGTCATATTCCCTCTTTTATCTTTGTTCCTATTTTTGTACTTTTCTGATGTAACGTGTAGAAGTTTCGGTGTATCCATATTTATGTCAGGTTTTAAGATGTTTGTAACTAACATAATGACATTTCTTTTAATCCACCATTGGTAGTATTTTTTCCAGTTAATATTAATTCAAAGTGCTAATTGTAAGTAGAGGTAACGTTTATTTAACACGAACAAATTTGTATAAATGGAAAGAAGTTTCTTAAAATTCTCTGTCATTCATCTAGTAAACTGCATACGGGTTCAATTTTTGTAACGCTACATTAACACAATAAGATGAAATTATTATTATGACGAATTCCTGTTTAGTCGAAGTTATCACAGTGTCAGTAGTAGTGAAATAAGTTAGGGTATAATGCCGTGTTTCGTTAATCGTTCACCCCGATAACCGTTATAATACAAATCCTAACAGTGCACAAAATCAGAAGGCTAAGAGAAGCGTCAGCTACAGTTTATTGTCAACTAACACAGGCCAGAAAGTTATAAGCACATGAGCAGATATCAGCGAGCGAAACAAAAATGAAACGCATTGGAGATGGTGGGTAAGCCAACTCGCTTTGGTTAAGCGTTAATCTATATTTATTAAAAAAAATAAGTTACCGACATGTGATGAATAAGATAAAAAGTGTACACATAGATACACTCATATAAAAAATAGTCAGGGTTAATAATAATTAGCAAGGTCAAAGCATGACTCAAGATAGATAGGTAAATTGGCATGTCCAGAAGCTAGAATAAGGTATACGAGCTTAACATATCAACCGACACAACAAGGGATAATAAGTATGATTCGAGAAGAAAATACAGATTCTTGGAATAGGAATACCTTTGAGATAGAAACTTGGGACACTAAGGAGAGCAAAGATTTATTTGATCTGAGTTATCGCGAACGATTTTGGGAAATGCCACTCAAATTTTCTAACAATCAGTTATAATAACCTAAACGAGGTAGGTTTCACCGACTGATATTTTATTGTCATTGATATCATGTATTGATACAATATTTTGGCTTTGGCTTTTCTGGCTATCTGGTAACCTATTCCAACACTATAAAACATCCCTCGTCGACTTTAGTATTATTTATTTCCACAAGTAATGAATAATCTTTTAATGTTGGGAATGTCATGACTTGTTTGTTTATTGATATCGAATTATAAACCTCACATAGCTTTACTTACTTATGCCTATTACTCTCAATGGAGCATAGGCCGCCGACCAGTTTTCTCCAACCCACTCTGTCCTGGGCTCATATAGCTTTGGCTTCATTGAAATCTCTTCAAAAGAATAAATTGACAAGATAAATTTCTGATTAGTTATTCAGAAGATAGCTGGTAGAATAAAATTATTATCAGTAGCACCCAGATCAAATTAAACTTAATTTTGATTCTAAAACAGAATAGAGGGTAATTTTCAAAGTGTTAACAACTTTAAAGTTATTCTTGATGTGAACTAGTGTCAACATAGTTTCCCAGGAAATTTATGCTTCAATTAAAAAGTAGTCAGTTAGTTTTTAGTATTGCTGTTATATTCACCGCATTTGAAAAGTTTTCATGACTTATACTATCAATAATGTGTGCTATAACTCCAAGAGGTAACACTCAATTTCTATGAAATAGAATAGTGTAGTTAACAAGAACACGACTGGAGACAATCGATTGTACTTAGGCACAAATTACAAACTATCTCACTAAAATCTGATAACCATACATTCAACAGTTAATTTGCAAAATAATAATTAATCGTTTGAATCTTTACTGTTGCTTCTGTAAATATCAGTCCATCTTCTCTGATTTCATTGCTTATGCATTTTCATACCAATTGCGCTTCGTTCCTGTTCTTTCCTCATAGATCTTCTACCAAAATACATTCTATGTCTGACCATCACCATATAATACTTATGTGGATATAAGTAGCTCATACCACAATACCTGTTTATTTAATTTTTTCAGTCAGCAAGAATTTGTATATTTTATCATTTTTGATATTTCTTTCTATAGAAGAACTCATTCGTTTCGGGTAATACGTTAATAATTTAATAGTTGAATTTATGAGTCAAATAAATCTAGACCACCACGGAAAACCTGGAAGCACTAGACTACCGTTTCGTGCTAGTATGGAGTTCAACCGGGTCTGTTGTGAGATATTAACTTACTGAAGACAATAGTGGGAGTTCGAGCGATTTTGTTAATTAGTTGAAGTTAGACATTAACACTGTTGGATGCCGGCTAAGTGGTCTACATTTTAAGCGTTTGAACGCGAGAGTGATAGGTCATTGGTTCGAATCTTGTGGGGCTGGATTGTGCATGTGCACTGTTAAGGAAACCCGTACTTGGACAAAACAGCCGTTCAATGCTCTCTAGGTTAGTGAAAATTGTTTAGTCCAAATTAGATTTTGTCAACAACAAACAGTATAACAATCGTCGGATATCAGATAGAAATGAATAGTCATTTCAATGTATTTCAGTATTCGTTAGTAGTGGTAGTAGTCGAAGATCGAACTTAAGAGAGAGGAGGGTACTCCTAAGGGACAAGTTTGAAGCATAAAAATTTATCTTTCCAGCTAGAGTTACTAGACAACATGAAGTGATTAATATGCAATTCAGTCTACGATGTTTAATCCATCTTTGACATTATAGAACTCCATCAGTTATTTAACACCATAGTTTCATGAATTCTTCTCTAACTAATAAGTAACTAGAACATGGTTAACATATTATGCATGTCTATTTAGATTATTCCATTTAAAGTAAATAACTTAGATACTTAACACTAAAACATGTATTGTTTATAACTTATATAAAAAAGTGTTCACCTAAATACATTTACTTCATTCAATTCATGGAAAGGCTAATTCACAAAAAAGAAATCACATAATTTTTAAACTTATTTCATTGGATCAGTATCATTCAAATAGATCATGAGAATTATGTTTGTTTTACTTCCTAAGCTATTTCTTATATTTTATAGTTGAATTTATAAGTCAAATAAAGCCAGACCACTATTGAAAACCTAGAAGCACTGGACGGTCGTTTCGTCCTATTGTTCGAATCCTCAGTCATAAAATTACTACAATCTCCACAAAAAAAATCTACTGATAATAATCTTATGCTCACTAGTGACTGGATCCAAGAGGTATCTCCTGAAGTTCTAGTGAGAAGCAATGACCACTGCAGGTCAACCAGGTCTGTCGTGAGGCAATGGTGAACGGATGTTCAACTTCGTGGGTTATTTAAAATTAAACATTAACACCGTTGGATGCCAGCTCAGTGTTCTAGAAGTTAAGCGCCCGCGCGCGAGACCGATAGGTCTTGGGTTCGAAATTCGCGAGGCGGGATCGTGGAGTCCCACAATAGAATGAAACGGCCAACCAGTGCTTCCAAATTTTCCATGTTGGTCTAGCTCCAATCGATTTACATTTTCAACTATAAAACTAATAAAATCTCCACAAAACGTCCTTCTGACATTTCATATATGTTGATCTACATTTTATTTTGTTTTTTTTAAAATACGTAACTTTTAATGTATACCTTGAAGATAAGTTTGCTTTTTTCTTTACTTCATGTTAGTGTATACATATCATCCCAGCAACCAAACAAACATCAAAAATATACAACTGATTATTGACTGATGATAATAGTTGTCACAGAGATTGTAAATGTTCTTTAATAATTTTATTTTTGATACTACAACTAACATTTTTAGTATTTAAATTGTTGAAAGAAATTCAGCCCTGTATAAAAACATATTTGAAGTAATATTGTTAGTAAAATATAACTGTCCAAAAATGTTTACATAAACTAAAGGAAATATAATCAATGAAATAGTCAAGTAAAGCTTTCATAATCAGTAATCAGTTAGTAACTAGTTAATAGTAGTGTAGTGTGTTCTACTTATATCTTTATAAGTAGTATATGGCAATGGTCAGAAATAGAATGTATTTTGGCAGAAGACCGATAAGGATAAGGTTAGTTTGCAAATTAACTATTGACTGTATGGTTATCAGAATTTAGTAAGATAGTCTGTAATTTGTGTCGAAATACATTCGATTGTCCCCAACTAGTGTTTTGTTCACTACAATAGACTGAAAACATTATCCAACAATTTCTTGTTATCAGTAAAGGAGTTGGTGAGAATAGTTCATATCAATTCAATTTATTGAAGTTAAACATTCAAACCATAAGGTGGTTACTCAGTAGTCTAATAGTTGAACACCAGGCAAGAGATCTGAATGTTCTAATTCTTATCTCTGGTGGTTGGTTTATATGTATCATTGAAGAATCCTATATTAGGACGAAATATCTATCCAATGACAAAACGGTCATCCAATGTTTCCAGGTTTTTATTAGTGGCCTAACATTGTTTTTTTTTATGATTGTAATGAACACTTCATTTCTTTAATCATATAAGATTGTTAAGGTTTTGAGATAAAATTGATTGTTGGTAAAACAACTAATCCATGTTTCACAATTTAGTGATTGCTCGGATTAAGTATCTCAATAAATAACTCTTTAGATATTTGAAGTGAAATGTATTGAGTTTGTGTAACAATGTGAGCATAAATACTGAGATGTGACAGTTGAATCTAGCTGACAATCTCTAAATAAAACGAAATAAGATTTTGGGATTCTAGTTCTAGTCCGTATTTGGGTTTTTATAAAAGTAGTTGTTTACGCTTAATTTTAATTTGTGTAAGAAGTCTATTGAATGAAAGGGTCAGTTCTCATGACCTTGGGAAACAACATTGAGGACGTTTTAAATGTTATAAAATGAAGGTGTTTCAATGAAAGAAATGTTTGTTACTGATCATCTTAGATCTGTCTTAAAATTTCATGACCTTGTATGAATAAATGTTATTATTTTCAACAGTCATTCACTAATGATCAGGAATTCAGAGTATTTCTGTAGTTGAAAGGAGTCGACCGAATACCATTCATCCTAATGGTTTGCCTGTAGTTTCAGTGATATCTATAAAATATTTTAACATTAAAGTTTAACAATGTCTTAAAATACTCTAATTAAATAAACTATTTTTTTGTTATTAAAACTCTTGAATTTACAATTTATGAAGCAGAGATTATGAATGAGGGTAATCATATTCTGGATAATTGGTCACTACTGTTCGGATAATACTTGATCAATTAAGAAATTGTGTGTATGGAAATTTCGGCTAAAAAACAAAATCCTTATTTTATATAGTTGAAATCATGGGTCTATTGAAACTAGACCAACATGGAAAACTTCGAAGCACTGAACCGCCGTTTCGTCCTACTGTATGACTCCTCAGCAGTGGTCATCCACGATCCCCCCTAGCGAGATTCGAACCCAGGACCTATCGATTTCGTTGATTGGTTGAAGTTAGATATTAACACCGTGATCGCGCGCGAGACTGATAGGTCCTGGGTTCGAATCTCGTGAGGCGGGATCGTGGATGCTTCCAGGTTTTCCATGGTGGTCTAGTTTCAATTGACTCATGATTTTAATTATATAAAATTATCGAAATCTCCACTAAATCCCTTTCTGATAAGATCCTTATTTGTTAGGAACCTTATAAAACTTCATAACTGTTATATAATAAATAATAAATCATACAACTAAATCACAATTTTGTTGTTGTTATGTGTGCGTATGTATGTGCGTATGTATGTGTACACTTTTAATCTCATTCATCACATATCGGTAACTTAATTTTGTCTGACTATAAATATAGATTAACGCTTGATTAAAGTGAGTTGGCTTACCCACCATCTCCAATTCGTGTTATTTTTGTTTGATATCTGCTCATGTGCTTATAACTTTCTGGCCTGTGTTAGTCGACTATAAACTGTAGCTGCCGCTTCTTTTAGCCTTCTGATTTTGTGCACTGTTAGGATTTGTATTATAACGGTTATCGGAGTGAACAATTGACGAATCACGGCACTACAGATTTGTTAAGCCCGACGTGATATTATGTAAAATAATCCCTGTGAATCAATCAACTTTGTTTAATAATTTCAATTATTTATTTGTCTAATAATTAGAACTGAATTTTTTTAAATTCTATATCCACCATTTAATTTTATAGATGTTTACAAAGCTGTTACTGTTGAAGAATGTTATGTGATAGACAGGATAAAATCTGGTCAAAGAAATGAAGATTCCAAGGAAACTCTTTTATTATACAAAGGGTACGTAAATCGGCATATATATATATATATATATATATATATATATGCATATATGTAAAGACAAAGAGATATGTAGAGATATCAATGTGAGATTACCAGTTGACATTCTCTAAGTGTTTGAAAACAATGGTATATATACATATCAAAATAGAGTCAAATGAAAAGTTTTGATACAATGATATCCGGATAGGTGTTAGATGTATTATTCGTGAACGGATTAGATATGTATATTCTTATATAATACAGAAAGATAATGAATGTTTAGATTGTAAATGTGTAATTGATGTTGTTAGACGAATCAATTTATGAACAAGCGATATAGATTCATTCATACTAAACTAATGACAAGATACTTTCGATTTATATGACAGAGTGAACGGATAGTAAAATGTTAGTATTCTTTTCTTGGAAAATATTACTCTTAAAAGTTAAACAATAAACAAAAGTAAATGGATACAACTTTCTTGTTGTATGACATTTTTAAACCGACTGACACTCAGAATACATGTCATGATAAAACTGATCTACATAAAATCTTAATTGCTGGTATAGGTAGAGATTGACTAAACAGGATAGTTAACTTGGATATAAGGACAAATGGATTTAACAACACCTATAAGAATAAATGATCACGGACATAGGGTTATTGTTATTTGTTTAAGCCTGTAATGCATTGAGTTATTGTATATTGTTTTTAGTTTCTGGGAATTTGACTATCAAGCTTAAACAATTCTGACCACATAAAGATTAATGAAATTTTACTACACAGGCATGCATTCAGTTCACTCTAGCTTTTCGAATAATTGACAGTCATATAAAAGTCATAAGTCCACTAACCGAATCTAGGATTTTAAAACCTACGACAATAATGTTCGAATGACACTTACCGCCAAGTGGAAGCATTTTTACTCTTAAATTTAGAAATTTATTGGAGTTTATGAAACATGTGTTATGTCCTCTACTTGATTACGGCAAAATACAATATACAACTAACGGCACTCGAACGTGTAGAATCCCGCAGTCGCAAATCAGAAGACGGAAGAAGCAGGGGAAGTAATTATTGAGTAAGAATTACAACCGTACAGAAAAAACTTGGGTGTTTATAGTTATTAGTATTGGCTATAACATTACCATAGTTCAGCTGATCAGCAAGGGGGCATGTTAAGCTATTGTCCAATCGTAGCATGCCACGCCGATATTCTAAAAGGCTGTACCAGGTACTGATTGGATGAAGTCTCGTCGGTTCCTTTAAAGAATCTAGAGGCTTCGTCATACTTCTCCAAGTCGTATCAACAAAGTTTGACGAAATTATGCAATGTCTCTATTCTCAGAGGTTCGTCAAAATATGTCTATTCGTAACTTAATCAAACTTCTAGGTCATTTTCCCTAATTTATTCTCTAAATTACTGGTACATTTTGATATTGAGCCTATACGGCAAAATTATAATTTATGTACGATCTTTGAACGAACCTTAAGTGACCATGAGAAGTATTAGTCAATCAGGAAACAGTTAATATATTATAAAAAACCAAAGAATTAAAATGGATACACTTTTTTTACATGGTCCAAAAACTTGCCAAGGTTAGAAGGACGTTTAAAGGTTCTAAAATCGTAATGCATATGGTAGAGGAACTCATCCATATATAATAGTCGGTCTCTGAAGCCTTGATGAGGTCGCAAAAACCCACTCAGCCTTGACCACATAGCTTCAATATTATTTATGTGTACTCCGATTGTGTAAGTTTGTCATTTTTATAACGCATATATCTCTACAATACTCATACTATTGAACAGCCAAATCTTCAGTAACATTTAAGAATATTGCAGCCAATGTTACTGGCGCTTTAATTATACATATCGCGGCAATTATTATAATTTGCCTTAGTCCTAATCTGGAGTGAGCGTAGAAAGTTTCTATAGTAGCAGACTTCTTCCTCCAACATATATTACATCGAAAGACAAGTCGACAAGTCATTTGGTTACCGCAATTACAAATAAAGCAACTTCTTAGTAGTCCTATTTGTTGTAGCCGTTTAATTGTCACATCTCTGACATCCTACGTGAACATCAGGTAGTGAAATTGGCGACGTGACCTTAGAATCCCTCGAACACTGCTGATTGGCTAGCTCATAAATTATAGTCTCGCCGCCTATACTTTATAAACCAACAGAGATCTAGATAGCATCTCTCTGTTTTCTGAATGGCATTCCAATATTAAAATTTCCATATCATATAATTTATCAAGTATTTAAAAGGATTGAATATGTTCAGAATTAGTCTACTCTTACTAATCACTGAGTGAAAATACCACAATTTCAAATAAATGAGTTGATTTCATCTGTAATAGTTGAGATCATGAGTCAATTGAAGATAGACCACCATAGTAAACCTAGAGGTATAGGACTGCACTTTCGTTCTATTGTGGCACTCTTCAACAGTGCACATCCACAATCCCGTCCTACGAGATTTCAACCCATGACCTATTAGTCTCACGCACGAACGTTTAACCTCTATACTTCTTAGCCGGTATCCATCAGTGTTAATGTCTAACTTCAACTAATCCACTCAATTACACCACCATTCACCATTATCTTCAATGAGTAACTATCTCACAATAGACCCGGTTGAACTCCATACTAGTTGTCTAGTACTTTCAAGTTGTACATAATGATCTATTTTTAATTAACCCACTAGCTCAACTATTAAAATTTTTAATTTAATTAACTTTCAATGTATCATTAATTATTTAATATGTTTTGTTTTTGTTTAAATATTATCATTCAAGTTGTCCAATATCAAAAACACTATTAAACAATCTATCAACGATTGGATTAACATTTCATACAAATCATTATAATAATGAAGAAAATTTCTTAATATTTCAACCTACTACTACTACTAGTACTACTACTACTACTAGTAGTACTAGTAGTAATCATCATTTACAAACTGATTTATTTTATCTTTATTTAAATGATCCTTCATACATTCAATCAAATCAAACAAAAATAATCAATAAAACAATAAAAATCAATAATAATAATATCAATAATAATAAAATCAATAAAAAAATTTTATTTTTTCATAATCAAACAATAAATGAACAATTAAATTTAATAGATGATATATATAAACAAAAATTAAATGAAATTGGTTATAAATTATATGAATTAAAATTTACATGTATATTTCGTATATGTAAACAATTAGCATGGTGTTCATGGGTAAGTAACAATAATGAATAGTTCTGTTTGTTTTATGTGTGTGTGTGAGTGTTTTAATAAGCAAAGATGGATAGTGACGAGCGGTGGAATCCAGGACGCGCGTTTCGTCCTATTTGAGACTCATCAGATGAATGTACCTACATCTCAAAATTGATGTTCACTCTAGGACTCGAAACCAGTACATTTCGCTTTAAACGCCATCACGTTATCCATTCAGAGAGTGAAAAGGCGAAGTTTCAGTAACATCTGCAATTAGTGCAGACAATGTTACTGGTGCATTTATTATACAGTTCGTGTCAGTTACTATAATATGCCTTATTCTTAATCTGGATTGAGCGAAAAAGGTTGTTATTCTAGCAAATGTAATCCCTCAACATATGTTACATCGAAAGACAACATCATGGTAGTCTGCACAAGGTCTTCAAGTTATTTGGTTACCGCAATTACATATAAAGGAACTTCTTAGTAGTCTCATATATTGTAGCCGTTTAATTGTCAAGTCTACTCTAAAATCTTCTGTGAAACGATCATACATGAGCATCAGGTACTTAAATTGGCGCCGTAAACTTGAAACCCGTCAATCGCTTTTGAATAAATTTTTATTCATAGAAATAATAGATTTGAGATGTAGGCACATCCAGTTGACGAGTTCCTGGATTCCACTGCAAGCCACTATCCATCTTTGCTTATAATAATGGTGAATTAAAGCTATATCGAGGCAATATGCACAGTATGCACATATGCCAATTAGAGACTGATCAATTGCAGTTCTAAACATCAATGGGAAGATTCAAACGAACAATACCAAGTGAATTTAACGATACATTTGTTGCATACTATTCTATAGTTAAGAAATGTAATTTATGAAATTAAAAGGTATGTATATATAGGCTATAAGTATTCAGCTGTTCATAACTTTGAATTATTAGTTGTACATGATTAAAAATTTCAATTGAATAATGATAAGGTTATGAGTAGATTAAAAAAGAGGTACATTCATCAGTGAGGATATAACCTTTTATCGGCTGAGTTGAATGGAACACGTTCAAGAGATCGATGATAAAGTTAAGGATCACAATTAATCAACCTCTTTTTCTAGTATGTGTTCATTACAAGCGAATTGAAATAATATTACTTTTAAGTCAGAAAATTTTCGAAGCAGACTTTTATAGTAATCAGTATAGTAATCTAAGACAAGACACTTGTCCTACTTTTGAATTATTAGCTGAGTGTACCTAGGTACCATTGTTAATGTTCATTCCGTGACTTAAACCTATTGTCTTTCACTTCAAATCCCAACTTATAAACCTCATCTCTACTTAGTTCATATAGCCATTGACATATTCAATAAAATTGAATTCAAATTCAGTGGTCATTGGCAATGTAGTCTCAGTAGCTAATTAGATAACCGATTGAATTAAGTAAAGAACATTGGATTTTAGTCTAGGGTTCAACAGCAACATTAAGATAAATTACAAACATGACAACAAAAACAACAAAGACATCTTGCATTTCCCTATTAAACTCTATCCAACTTTGTTTATATCAATAGAACAAAATAATTTATTCAATTAATAAAGAAACCAATAAAAGCATGACAAAAATCTTCATAAGAATGTATAAGCTTTTTGGGGTTTACGGTGAAATTTTCGAAAAAAAAAAGAAAAAAGGTTGACATAATCAATTAGAATTTATTATTAGACTTGGTCATAATACAATTTGATTATTCGATAAACTCCAAGGATTTATTTAAATTAATCGTGTTTTGTTTTTCTGGTTTAATAAAAAAAGTAGCGCAGTGTTTGACTACTTAAAAATGATAATAAATGATGGTATATATACATAGAGAGAGAGAGCGGGAGGGAGGTAGAGAGAGAGAGAGAGTAGGGGAAGGAAAGAGAGGGATTCGAATAAGTCTATATCATTATTTATTTATTTAGGTATGTTTATACTTTGTATGCTAATTTAAATTAATGTATACTCTGAAAACCGTCTGTATATATAAAGCAGAGGTTTTCATTAAGCCATAATTAACTTACTAATACTACTATCATTCTTATTTAGGATACTCTATGTCACGCAATACTTATTAATACCTAAAGGACGAAACAGTAGAAAATGTATGATGATAATTTTTGATTTTCTATCAGTAGTATATAGTGATTCAGGATATTTTGTTTTAGACTAAGAATGTGTGGTTAATTTTTAAAACAAAAAAAGGAAAATAAATTTTTTACGTGAAATTTATTTATACATTCAACTATGCATTAAAATTAATCAAACATGAAATATATGTGACTGTAAAAAAAAAAGAAAAAAAAGAGAAAAAACAAGAAAAAAAAGTGATGAAAGTCATTTTATAGATTAGTGCTCAATCTGCATGACAACAAGATTTGACTGGTAACTATATAATGATGATGATGATGATGATGATGATGATGATGATGATGATGATGATGATGATGATGATGATGTTGATGATATCGGTCAATATTGTCTAACAATTAACAAATTTATCATTTCATTAGAAGCAAAGAACTGTTGTGAATTTATTAATAAAGAAGACCGTTGCCAATTTGTTGTGATCTTATGTCCGGCTTTTTATAACGTCATTTATTCACCAATCGAAATACGACTTTTCCAATCTTAGCACTGTGCCAAAACAATGACGTTCGACCGGTATAAGCAGTCTAGCGTCCTTATTGGTCCTTTGTTCGCCTAGTCATGACAGATTCTGTTATGCGAATCATTTATTTCAAGCATACTCGGTTTATAAATCAGACAGATAGACCGCATCAGACCATAAAATAGAAAATGATATTTGTACAAGATCAAGCCAAATATGGCTGTGAACGTGGAAGACAGTAATCAATAAACTGCGTATAATTTAGGAACAGTAAATCGCATAATAATAATTTATAGGTCAAAATGAAGCTTATGATAAGATGAATATAGATATACACAATCTAATTACTCAATAGTTAAACAATAAGAATATATATATAGAATAATAGGTATTAAGGAATTTACATGTCTTTATGCATCACAAGGACTTTATCCAGAATTACTTCTTTTTTTTCTTATCACCTATTCCATGCTATTCTTTTATATCATTTTGGATTTCGTATAAATCGAGAAGATTGTCAAGATCAGATGAATGCAATAGTAAATTAAAGAAACCTGTTTATCCACGTTTATTCATTACTGTCCAATTAGTCAAGTTTAGTCAAGGAAAAAAATTTATTTGAATGGGCCTATAAGAAACTCCAACAACAGTAAACAACTATGTAAACTACAGACTTAAAATCGACTGCAGAAACATAGATTTCACAACTCAAAGCATTGTTACCTAGTAAATAAATATAAACTTATTCACTTAATCTTAATCCTCTACTGCTGTTATTATTATTATTACTACACCCCAAATGCCTTGGTATGGCCGAAAATGGGGGGAGAGTCAGTTCTCCATCTGCAGATGCTTTCACATGGCCACTTGCATACATCCATTGACAGAGAAGTCCTACTAACTATCTTCTCGCAACAGAGGTGTTGTTTATGAAATTGAGAGAATAAAAAGCGAATGTCCAATTCTTTAACCGAGTTGGTGGATACGAAAGATCCAACTAGGAAAGTTGGAAAACCCTGGCTCCAAACCAATGGTATACATGGACTCCAGGATTTTGAAGGAAACAAATGATGTATGAACCAACTGTTGGTCAATGGCTACCATTAGACTGAATCTTCTAACGTTGCTCCACTGCCTCATGGATTGGACCTTCAGGTCGAGGGCTACTGGTGTGGCTCCCTAATAAGACCACCTGGGCACCCGTGTAGTGTCTCAGCCTTCACAAAGATCAAATTATTTATGTGTCACATATGTATTTGGTGCTTCATTGTACCAATGTTGATATGTTTGAATAATAATAACAACTACTCACACTAATACCACTACTACTACTGTGGTGTGATCTACTTATATCCATATAAGTAGTATATGGTGTGGGTCAGACATAGAATGTATTTTCGCAGAAGACTGATGACGAAAGAACTGAAACGAAGCGCAATCGGTAGGAAAATGCACGAATAATGGAATTAGTGAAGGAACAGTGAAGATCGAGACTAATGGTTGTGAATTTGCAAATTGACTGTACATTGTATGATTTTCAGAATTTACTGAGATAGTCTGTAATCTTTGCTTAAATGCATTCGATTGTCCCCAACTAGTGTTCTGTTCACTACACTACTACTAACACTACCATCGACTTTTGATAATCTTGTATAGACAAAGTTAATATGTACCAACAGTGAGATCATCAATAATTACATGTATTTATTTCTAATAGAACATAAAACATTTCAACAATCCCTATTTTTTTATTCATCACATATCAATAAGTAGATTCATTTGCATAAACTTAATATGATATAAAATACAAAATAAATCAAATTAAGTAACAGTATATAAAATTGAAATTTAGTAATTAAATTATATAATTAAACTATTAGTTTAAATATTTAAACAAATTCAATATTCAAGAATTATTTGTACATAGGTGATCTTTTCCAATTAAATAAATTGGAATAAATTATAATTAAGATCGTGAGTCAACTGAAGCTGGACCACAATGGAAAACCTGGAAACGTTGGACGGCCGTTTCATCCTGATGTGTGACCCCAGAGGTTAAGCGCTCGCGCACGAGACTGATAGGTTCTGAGTTCTAATCTCGTGAGGTGGGATGGTGGATGCACACTACTGAGGAGTGTCACAATAGGACGAAATGGCCATCCAAGGTTTCCAGGTTTTACACGGTGATCTAGCTTCAATTGAATCATGATCTTAACTATTGAAATTACCATAATATCCACAAATAGCACCTCTGAAATTATAATTAGTAAATTAAATCATTTGAAAATCCAAAAAATATTTGACAATTATTTCGTTTCAAGTTTGATGATCAGCACTTTGAGCATTTATATATTATGAATAGAATACAATGATA